GGGGGATATACCCATAAAATTTCAGCTTCCTAGCTTCTGTGGTCCCCGAAATACTGACTTTACCCGCCAAAATTTTTACGGGGCCGTACTTGTTACCCGTAGGTACGAGGCTGAATTTAAATATGCCGCGTCACACGTTGGCGGGGAACACTATACTAAAATTCCAGCCACCTAGCTTTTGTGGTTCCCGAGTTGAAAATGCGGGACAAAATGTGGGGGACAGACACACACAGCCAAACCCGTGACAATATGCGTTTTGTATTGCTGTTACACAGCACAAAATGCATAAAAGCAGAAAATCACTCCAGCACGCTGCGCGCCTTTAGGGTTGCATAGACGTCACGATTGCGCTACTTGCCGACATGGTATCAAATTCCTGAATAAATTTAAGGCTGAAAAAGTGCTTTACCGACAAGCCATAATTACTTTCGCCTTCCTTTTGGCCAATTCTTTAGTCGTCTCTTTGCCAATGCCTGAAGTCGCGCCCACAACAATGTACGTCTTACCAGACAAATCTTCATTGAATTTATAGTCATCACGCGGCTTATGATAACTGCAATGTAAATTTGGAAAATAATTAAAGTCGGGAATTTGGACACGAAGCCAAGATTGCGGGCATCCCTCAGGAAATTATTTGGAGCTCCCCCATGCATCCAGGCTACTGCACCGCACGTTTCAACAATTACTAGACTCGGCTCGGCCCGACCGCTTCTGTTAAACGCTCGTTTCTCCGCCACTGCAACACCAGTACTGTCTTGGGTGTCGCTTGCGAGCACTGCTTGAGATAACGCCGACCAAGACTGGGTAACCTTCCCCTGAGCACTGGGTGATGTAGACAAAGGCTGGGTAACGTGGTGGGTGACGGGTGGAAGGGGGAAACGGTGTGGTGTTTCAGCTGCGAACATCTGTGATTGGGAAGAGATTAAAACGTTGGTTGGTTAGGAAATGCAGATATATGGGGCTGGAGATGAGCCTCGCTGCTGTTTTGGAGGCAGGAATTAGGGAGAGGATAAAAAAGGGGAACAGAGAGTACAATTCAGGAGTCGGGGTAAGGACTGGAGACAAAGTAAAGAAAATAAAATAACACTGGATTACAAAGCTAACGATGAATAAAAGCAAATCTAGGTAAGAGAATGGGAACTGTTCTGTGAAAACCCACGGTAAGCAGCGATTTCTCCGGTTCATGGTATTTATGCTTAGGTGAAGCTGAGAATGAATAAGTTCAATCAGATCTACATAAAAATTCCACACAAAAATCGCAGTGTGTTTCCTTCTGCAACAAGAAAGGGAATTCCCTCATTTATTGCGATCAGGTTTACATAAAACTGAGG